TATATATATTTGTTATATCTAAATTTAATGGGTAAATCAATAAAAATGACAGCTCTGCCTGTCCTTTTATTATTATTTATGTATATTAGTCATGAAAATTAATTCAATTCATTTTTATTTTCATATATGTACATGTCATATGGTGACAATATGTGTCTATCACTGCTCCTTCTACTCCCTCACACCCAGCCCTCTTCCAAGACTCTAACAGTTCCTTTCTACTTTCAAGTGATTTATTTATTTATTTATTTATTTTTTTAAGTTTCCACATATGAGAAAACATTCCTAGGTTCTCTGTCTGGTTTGTTTCATGTAACACGATGCCCTCCAGCTCCACCCACTTTCCCATGAAGGACAGGATTTCCTTCTTCTATATGGCTGCATAGGTTATACTCCATTGTACTGTCCATTTTCTTTATTCCCCCACCCACTGACAGACACCCAAGCTGGTGCCATATCCCGTCATGGTACACAGTAAACGTGGCCATGCAGGTGTCTCTTTCGTGTGGTGACTTCATTTCCCGAGTGCACACTCAGAAGGGTGACTGACCAGATGGTTGTTGTGGCCTGTTTTTGTTTTTGACTCTAAGCAACTGGAAGTGAACTCAGCAGGCAGACAACCAGGCTCAGTATCTTTTGGGGGCGCTGTTAATGGAGGTAGTGAAATCAATACTTCATACATGTAACTACAGGTGTATTTTCAAGACCCTCTCGCAAATTTAGACAATTGTGATTTTTGAGAAAATGTTATACATTGCATGATGTTTAGTTGTGATTAGCCCCCATTCATATATATGAAAGTTACATGTGATATATATTTTATCTTTATTTATGTTGGGACTGATTCAATCTGCAACTCAATGGATGCATGTGCACATGTACACATAGCCACATAGACAGAGAGGCACATGCATGCACATTCATGCCCACACTCTTTTGCACTCATATACACAGAAACTGCACACATGTATGCACATACGTATACACAGGCACCTGTGCACAGCTGTGGAAGGTACATATGCATGCATCCATACACACACATGCACACTAACACTGCATAGATGTACACACATGTGTGCACCTGAAGAACAGTACTTGGAGGCTGCCTGTGCATATGCACACACACGCATACAAACATATAATCATACACAGGCATGGCTTTATAAGGGCACATATACACACATGAATACACACCCATGCATACTCAGACTGTAAAGATACACACACACACACACACACACACACACACACACACACACACGACAGCACTCAGAGTCTGCCTGCACAGGGAGGCCTGGACTGAAAATATAACTGAGGTATATACCTGTAGGGGCCACACTCCCTTTCCCATCCTTATGCTGGAGCTTGATGAGAGTCTAGTGAAATAAGGCCCAAAATGTACTCAAGGATGAAATGTAGATTAGACAGGTCCCTATTGTCCTAAGCAGAACTGGTGTTCATGCCCAGAACTCTTGCCTGTTGTGTTGGACTAAGACTCTGTGTAGGAGCAGGCCAGAGGTCACATCTGAAGGTGTGTGTGTGTGTGTGTGTGTGTGTGTGTGTGTAGTGCTGAGGAATGAAACCCAGAGCCTTCACACTTAGCTACAGCCCTAGCCTTTTTTCATTTTTTTATTTTGAGATAGGGTCTCACTATATTGCTCAAACTGGAATTAAAATTGCAATCTCCCTGCCTCTGCTTCCCAGGGTGCTGGGATTACAGATGTATGCCCCATGCCCAGCTTTGGGGGTATGTTCTAATGTGAGCAGAAGGAGAAAATAAATGATTTTTGTTTCACTGTCTGATGGTCTTCTGTATCCCTGCAGCTTGTTCAAGTCTGGGCATAGCCAGGGACAAAGGCCTCCATTAGGTGTCTTTGGCTCTGGCCATATGACCTCAGCACCCCTAGTTCCTTCTGTTGTGTTATATGAGGACCCTGAGGATGGTCCCAAACTATTGGCCACCATGGTATCTCCACCCAGCACCCAGCTGCTCCCAGCTTCAACTGTAATGTTGCAAGACATCTTTAGATACCTGCACCTATGCTGTCACTAACCTGTGTCAAATTCAAGCACCCTCTCTTGGTTATCTCCCAGTGGAGTCCCAACTCCTTCAGCTCAGCTTAGGCCCAGTGGACCCTGATCCTTGCCCCATTCCCCTGTCTCTACTTCAATGGCTTGGATACACAGGCCGCTGACTCTATAGGATTCTGGGCATCCAGGATTCTTTCTGGATATGGGCAGGAGAAGCCTCTGCATCATTCGAGGGTGGGAAATGAGGCAGGACCTGACCCCAAAGTTCCATCCATACAGGTACTGGTGGCCATGTCTGACAGCTCAGGTAACACACCCATCCAACTTGTCAAGGGTCGGGAGAGGAAGCAGAAGATGGAATACACACTCTGACCCCGTGTGTGGCTTCTAGAAGCCTCCCTTCCACTCAGGCCAGGGCCTGGGAAGCTATTTATCCCAGGACTTAGCAAGTTGCCTAGAACTTCAGAAGTACTTGAAGGCAGGGGACTGGGGGTGAGGTATGGACCAAGGACTGGTCTAGAAGCCCCCTACCCCTGGGAACCAGTAGAGCAGCCATGACATGATGGCAGGCATGACTGGGCCAGCCATCCGAGGGCAGAAATGGTGGGGCGCAGGAAATTCTGGGATTCCATGTTATCTCTGCTCAGCTGCAGAAAGGGAGTCAGATTTTGTGATGGTGGCATGAGCTGGCACAACCAGGCCAGAGCAGAAGCACCTATGGCTCACTACTCCAAGTTGGGCTTGTACGGCCTGAAACCTGGGTCACCTGCCCACCCAAGACACTGCCCCTCCACACAGCTGCTTCAACTTTCTCCTCATCTTCACACCTCCCCCCAGGGGGAAGTCAGCACCCACAGGGTAGATATAGGATCCCAAATTTATGTTCCCATTGGTCATTTTCTTTGTTGAGGAGCCTTAGGTCAACCTGCCAGGGCCCTTTCCTGGAAGTCATCATGCCCCATCATGCCTACAAGCTCAGTCCCTAGGCAGTGGTCTGGCAATCAGAGTGAGGAGCTACCAGTGATCCAGGAGGCCCTACCTAAAGCCAACTTGGGCCCCCATTCTCAGTCCCTCCCTAGGGCCCAGGGCAAACCTGATCATTCTCATGTAGGGGTCAGCTTGTACCCTACTCCAGGTCCAAAGACAATAAGTAGAAACACTGGGTGAGACTTAGAACTTGACTCACAGGCAGAGAACCCCTCAGACATGGCGGGATCAGGAGCCAGAATGGAGTTGGGGTCTGGTGCCCAGCCCTGGTTGTATAGATAGCTGCTCTGTCCCCATGGAGTCTCTACTGCCCAGGAGAGCCCTAAATCATGGGCCCTTCTTTATCATTACACTAACCATGTCTCATTACATTCTTAAGTCTCCTCCTTGGGGCATGGGACCCTCCAGAACTGGTTGAGCCAGCCCCTGGGGACTGAGGAAACAGCAGCACAAGAGATGTGGGAACAAGGCACTCCAGTGGAAGATCCACTGGTGACAAGGAGCCATTAGGGGCAGTGTGTCCCACCTTCTTCCTGTCTCTCTAGGGAACTGGAAAGGGCTTCTTGGTCCCCAGAGGGAAACTTGTGCTTTGGGAGGTGAGAGGACTTCCCTAGATCAATGGAAGCAAGGACAAGTCTAGCCATTGTGGCCCCAGTGTATTCCACGGTTCTGAGGACAGGACTCTGTTGGGCTCTGAACAGGGCAGCAAGGGACCAGCCAATGCCAGTGGGCACCAGAGGCTCCCCAAGAGTCAAGGTCTCAGTGTTCTGGTGAGTAGCAGCAGGGGGACCACCCTAGGCTGATTCTGGTCAGATTTCACTGACCATGGGGAGATACTTAACATTTGAGCCTTAAATTGAATGGCCACGTGAACTCAAAACTAGTCACCCTGGCACCATTGAATGAAGACAGAAATATTGTAGGTGAGACCCCCCTCCCAAGCTGAGTTCTGCATGGGACCTGAATGTGCCAGTGGGGTGAGCCCCAAAGCATCCATGCTGTGTGTCTGATCCTCTTTGATGGCAACAATGTAGAGTGGTAAAGGATCTTAGGGCACTGGCCAGGATAACCTCTTCTCCTCCAGCCCAGCCTCCCAGCCACTTTGAGGCTGAGTCCAAACAGAGATCAATTCGGCAATCCACAGTTTAATAGGAAATAGGTAAGCAGGAGGTTTGGCCATTCATCTGACACCAACCCACTTCCCAGAGACACTAACTCAGAGCCTGCCTCCCAGAGTTCAGAGAGGCCCAGGGAACTCAGAGGAGGAGGACAGGGGTAACCCATCGCACTGGTGGATGAGGACATTTGGGAGGGTGAGGCTGGATTGAGGAGAAGAACTGGGAGTGTCAAGAAGCAGACTAAGGGTCTCCTCCACCAGGCAGACCCCATCCATGCCCCATCTAGGGCCCAGAGAACAGAGGAACGTAGTGATGGATCCAGGAGACATAGCTCATCACACGGGCATACACCCCAGGAAGGTCACGAAGGCCACAGCTGAAACCCCAGCTCACCACGCCTACCTGCACCCAGGTGCAGTTCCATGCGCAGACAAGGGGACCCCCAGCGTCACCCTGAAGAGACATGAGACACACTGTACCCTCCAGTGTCCTCCCCACACTTTGCTGGGAGGGACAGAGATATAGGCTTGGCAGGGCTCACCTGGCAGGAATCACGGCCCTTATGTCCAGCACAGAGCATATCATCCTTGATGACCTCACAAGCATTCTTCAAAGAAGAGTTCTGGTGCTGCTGGTTACAGACCTCATTCTCCACAATAGGGACTGATACCACCCGTAAATGGTAGGGTGGGGGCAGGGACTCTGTGGAGAGAGGCCAGGTGAGAGTCATGGGGTGGAGGTAGGGGTGGGGGGTTTTGCACCTGTTCCCAACAGTGAATAAAGAATGACCATGAAGTCTGCCAGTCCTTACGTCTGACTCTGATGTTACCCCAGCCGGTCACCCAGCAGGTTTTCCCTGAGGAAAGATTCCAGGAGGCCTCAGGGAGGGAGATGGGGTAGATGTCCTCTGATAGTACCACAGGGGCCTCCAGTCGCAGTAGGGCAATGTCCCCACCTCCGGAGGCAGACAGGCTCTCATTGTACTTGGGGTGGCGGATGATTTCAGCCACCTTCATCAAATGGTTATCTTCATACAGCCTCAGATGCCCAACCTGGACCCTGAAGGCACAGGCCTCCAGCTCCTCCCTGGGGAGGGGACACCACGAGACCCTCAGGGAGGTCTACAGGACAGGCAGGCTGAGCTGAGCACAGTTGCAGGGATTGGGCCAGACTCTTGGGCCAAGACTTCCTGTAGCCTGGGAAGGGCTCAGCAATTCGGTCTCCCTCTTGGTCACCCTGCACCCAGCCTAGGACAGGGACAGCCACACTCACGGATCGAGACAGTGGGCAGCAGTCAGCACCCACTGTGGGTGGATGAGTGAGCCCCCGCAGATGTGCTCCCACCGGTGGTTGAACTGGCTGTAGAACTGCAGGCTGACCTGCCATGGGAACCTCATGGCCGAGACAGGGCAGCCCCCAATGATGCCTGCTAGCTCCTGTTGTGGGCGAGGGTCTGAGGAAATAGGTGGGGTTGTCGTCAGGGGATGGATGGAGGTGCTCAGGACTCAGAGTAGGCAAGTGGAAGCGGACAGCCCCAGGAGTGGTCCTGTGAACACTCAGGGAGGGTGGGGTCAGGACTTACCAGGAGTTGTGGGGATGGAGTCCCCCAGACAGGGAAGGGTCAAGAGCAGTAGCCACAGCATCCTGTGGCAACCTGAAAAGAGAAATCTCAAACCCCAAATACAAGCTATGGAGCCAGCAGACCAGAGGACAGGGGCTCAGTCTGCCGAGTAAGCTGAACTCTGTCACACTCCCCTCCCTTGTGTCTCCTTTGGGCCTCATTTATCCTCTGTCACAGGATGTGGGTAGGTGGTGTGCCAACCCTGCTAGAGAAATAGAGGAGTATGTGTTATAGGCAATCACATCGTCTCCTTTCTTTGGAGCCAGTGAGAACTGATGGTCAATGCAAGCTCACTGTTGCTGGGGCAGGGGAGTGGGAGGTATGGAAGGACATGAGCCATGAATACAGGGTTCAGAAAGGGACAGAATTATGGTGAAGGAGTGAGAGGTCAAGGTAGAGGGCTCGACAGGCCAAACTGAAGCAGCCACCCTGTCCTCATCTGTAGCTATAGCTCTGTATCCCACAGATGCCCAACATCGGGGCAGGTGACACCCCAGGAATGTGGGCCAGGGTCTCAGAGTTCTGGTGGATATAGGAGAGTTTACCCAACAGAGGCAGGATTGTTGAGTCAGGGCACTGAGCAGGTCCTGGGACACATCCATCCTTTGCAATGACAGTGACCTTCCACAAGGGGTAAAGGCAAATTGTTACTATACCTCCTTGGGTCCCCTGACCAGGGTCTAGGGAGGTCCTCACCCCAGCTCTCACCCACTGTAGCAATTACCTGGACACCACTGACCCCAGCCTCCCTGGCTCCCACAATAGCCAGGTCAAAATGGCACCCAGGGGCCGAGGGATGCAAGTGTCCACATGGCAACAGACATGCACCTGGCTATATACCTGTCAGACCATCCTGGGTTCAGGGCATGACTCCTGGCTATGTATGGCTCCATGCAGTGGGTGGGCCATTAAAGACTGTGCCATGTCATGATTCTGAATATGGAGCATCAGGAAATGAGAGCCTTAGACTTTCCCTGTGTCTCCCTGTTCTGCACCCTCAGTGATTCCACACCCCTTTTTCCATGAAGGCTACATAGCCTGCTTATAGAAGAGCCTGAGAGGATTATTTTTGTTATTGCTGCTTATTTGTTTTGCAGTAGTGGAAAATGATGAAGGATCTTTACTCTGAGCAACATCTCCAGCCCTTTTCTAATTTTTTTATTTTGAAACTGGGTCTTCCCAAGATGCTAAGTTTCTTGGGCTGGCTTCAAACTTGGGATCCTCCTGTGTAGCTTGTCAGAATGCTGAGATTGCAGGCATGTGCCACTATTCCAGGCAAGAGTCTGAAAACTTAAGGGTGTTTTGCTAAGTGTACAGGAAGAATATGATCTAAGAGAAGACAACCAGGCCCAAGAGTGAAGGAAGAGACATTTCTGCTAATTCCACAAGTGACAAGGGCTCTATGGTTCAGCAAGGAGTAAGCCTCAGACATGGACTAAGCTGGGTTCTCCAAATTCTTATGTTGACCCTAAAGCCCAGAACCTCAGAATGTGAATCATGTGGTCATGTGGGTAGGCCCTAGTCCAGTCTGACTAGTGTCCTCATAACAGGCAAAGGAAGATCACGTGAGGACACAGGTAGAAAGCATCAGCTACAAGCCTAAAAGAGAGGACTTAAGAGGAGCTAGCTCGTCCCAGGTTGACTTGCATCCTCCAGGACCTCGTGAGAATAAAATCTTGTGTGGGCCAGGTCTGAGCACTTTGCTGTGGCCTCAAGCTGGTGGAACAGACTCCTATCTACCCTACATTCCCATCAGGAAGGAGGCCCTGGGAGAGCACGTGGTCAGCTGGGCCACTCAGGAGAAACTAAGAAGAACTTGGGAGTTTAAAAAAATGTTTTCCTCTGCCTGAGATTCATGTGTGAAATTCATGTGCAGTGCCCTCTTAGGAGTGTAACCTCCAAAGTGAATAACTTTGTTTTCATTTCATGTGGCATATCTCCATCACCAAGGTGCAGACAGCTGCAGAGTCCTCCTGTGCCACAAATCCTTCATGTCTGAGGCCCTGGATTCTCCCTTAGAAACCCACTCTCACTACTGGCCTCAGGGCCACCGGTTCTGGCCCTGACCCTCACACAGTGTTGCAAGAGATTAGCAAGTGGTCCACAGTGGTATAAGCAACCTCTACCTCAGAGGCCTAGTCAGTCTCAGCCCAAGCCTGAGTCACCTCACTGCTGAGCCCAGGAACTGCTCCTCCCAGACAGTGCGGGCAAGAGGAGCTGCACTAGGGCCTCTTGGACAAGAACCTGTCCTGTCCTCCACTTCCACACTGTTGCCTGGTCTCGAACTGGGTTCAGACTTGGAGCTGCGGTCACTTAGAGACCCATGAGAGTTGACAGAGGTGCTGTCTATCTGATGGGACTCCCTAGAGCCCCTTCTACATGCTGGCAGTCTGCCTTGGAGACCTCTGAGCACTACAGCTGGGGAATATGTGTGTCCTGTCATCCAGGACACCATGATAGAAGGCCACAGTGACTCTACACGCCAGCAGCATCCACCAGAGGCTTCAGGTTGATCATCTTGTCTCTACCCTGGCCACCCTGTCAGTCATTCATTCTTCTGGGCTTGCACACTACAGAGCCTCCGGAGAAGGGACACTGTCCCACTGACCACAGATTTTCATGTTTTCCAGGGACCTAGGATGGCCAAGGCGTTTAAGCGGCCATCATGGTCATCATGGCCATCATGTTCCCCAGTCTACCAGCACTCAGGTGTCTGCACTGATCCTGGGGGGGGCAGATCATGGTAGGGATTATCCCCTCAAACTGAGGAGGTTTTACGTTGTTTCCAAATTCTTGCCACCACACACATAAGCAGAACATTTTAGTTCAAACTTGGGCTTTCCACAGTTCAAGCCCAGTCACCAGCCCCTCAAGTGAATGGTAGAGTAATGTCCGTTCTGCTATGGGCTCTGAGAGCACTGTCTCTCCCTGGGCCCTCCCTACATTAGGGCAGTCATGCTTTTTAGTTTTCCCATTTGAGGAGTGCAAAGTAGCTTTCCAGTGACCAGAAAGGCCACCATTTTTATGCTGACTGGCTGCTGCTTTTATGAACAAAACATGGTCATTCCTACAAAGGCTCCCTTGGGAAGTGACAGAAGCCACTGGCTAAGAGGACAAGGCTCAACTCTTGAAGACCCTCAGCTCATGTTTTGACCCGGCTCACTTCGCACCCCATCCTCTAGCCTTCGTTCCATACTTTCTACATTATCCAACTTCGAACTCTGCACACAACACTTCCTTGCACAAGGCAAGCCTGATTCCTTCTCTTTTGTCATTATGAACCAAGTACAAAGCAGGTTCTTGTCAAGTAACCCATGCATTTTGATGGCATAAGGAGCACAGCCCTAGTACCACAGCGCCACTGAGCAGGCTCCCCCTCTGACTCAGCACCTGTGCCCCAGCTCTAACCATAACAGGACAGGATGGCATTTTTTGGAGCTCTGGTGACCAACAGGAGTAGATATCAATGTCCAGCCCCTGGTTCCTCAGAAGGAAGACACAGGAGCTCTCCTGACTCCTAGAGTCTCCTGAGACTCACAATAGAAGCAGCCTTCCAAATGCACACTACTAACACCCCCCCCACACACACACATACTGCCTCCCAAATACCTTATACCCCTGAATGCTCATCTTGGGGTCTTCTCCTGGCACAGTCTCAAATACTAAATTGTGTGATGTTCTAAAGGCAAGCAGAGCAAGTGGGGTGACGGCCTCATTCCATCTCAGTTTCACATTTTGTAAAAACAATCATCTGAATAAACAGAACTCAGGTTGTAGCTTACCGCTCCAACAACATATATTAAGTTTTTAAATCGTGAACAAATAAGTTAGAACCTGGGAGGTTTTATCCAGGCAAACCGTTATTCAAGGGGGCCAACAATATGAACAGCTTCTCAGGCACAGCACATCCTACCCCAGTGACAACCTCAGAGACAGTTTAGATAAAATTCAATACAAAGAAAGACTATTACAGAAAATGTTGCAAGAGCTACAGTCAGCAGGAAAATCAAATATCATGGTAAAGATTACTATTATCTTTAGAAAACAGATAAACTGAAGAAAAAGGAGAAAATATACCCTCAATACCCCAGAATTAACAGTCAACACTGGCATCAGTGTGATAAATATGATGGAGAAGTAGAGATTAGGAGATGTGAGACTTGATAAACTTCTTAACTTAATGGGGTGGAGTGTAGATCTCTATCTACAGTAAAGAAAAAAAAGAAGAAAGAGAAATTAACATAGAAAATAATTAAATTATATAAAAAAGAATTCAGGTGGTAGAAACTGGTCTTAATATATTAATGGTTCTAATAAATACAAAGGGAGTAAATTTACCAGTTAAACAGTAAACACTGAAGGTGGGCATAAAAAACTAATTCAGATCTATTGTTTAGAAGAAAAAGTTACCAGTAAAATGATGGCAAAAGATATTACAGAAAGTATTAATCAAAAGATAGCATATTTAATTTTTAAACTTTTTTATGCAGGTCATCAAAATGATGTTATACTTATCAAAAACTACCCTTAAAATAGTAGAGCAAAGTTACACATAGGGAGACTTTTGCAAAATGTAAAGTATTTGCATCCAAACCAAGTGTGATGTCAAGCTATGATCCCAGCACTGAAGGATGCTGAGGCAAGGGGCATCACAAGTTTGACATGAGCCTAAGCAACTTAACAATTCATCAAGACACTGTCTCAAAAGTTAATTTAATTTAATTTAATTTTAAAAGGCCGCCAAGGTCTCCAGATAAAGATCAGTGCAGAGGCCCTGGGTTCACTCCCCAGTACTGGAAAAAAAAATTTTTACCATAAAAATGAAACCCAGAGCTAAAAATATGGCTCAGCAGTTGAATGCTTGCTTAGAATAGGCAAGGCCTTAGGTTCTGTCCCCAGCACTATAAAATAAAATAAAATATGTATAAATAAATATATAAATAAAACCTAGAGAAATCATAATCCTAGGCAGATAATTTTAAAAATCCCTAACTTTAAAAAGTCATGAGACAGAGACCCAGT